TGATCATGATACTTGGCAGTATCATGATCATCAAAACACAACAGTACAGGCTGCGATGAAATTGTTTCTACGCGTTTGCGTACGGTTCACCATCGAATCAATTTTATCAAATTCTTCGAGTAATTAATGGTCATTACTCGTATGCGCGAATAAAACGAACGATTCGTGGGTTCCTTTATCGATTTTCATAACGGAGCACCGACTGTGTAGAATGTCATTAATATTGTCCCCCAAAAGATCATCGCATTATCGTGTGCGAGCTTCAGAATCGTCACCCATTCCGTTCCGCATGGCCGGCTCCTTCGAAACGGTCCCATTAAACCCGATACTGTGAACTCCGGGACGTCTCAATTCTTCTATTTTAATCCCGTAAATAGTAGCGAGGCTCTGCGCTTCTAATTGAAACCATTACAATCACCGAGATAGGTCGTAAACGTTGATTAATGTTATTATTAATCGGGTGAATTTCTCTCGAATGTCGTATGAATTTTAAAAGAACCATAGAAACAGAGAGACATGTACAACCAAACACAACGGCGAAAAGATACAATTCAGCTACTCGAAATAATTAATATTCACGACATTCGTTCGATAATAATGAAAAGAAAGCAAAACGAAGAATAAATTTATCGTCGAGAACTAGCACTTTTGTCATCATTCGGCTTTATCATCTTTCCATGAAAAGTGATTACGCTGGTTCCTCCAATGGTTTGTCCTCCCTGCTTCACCCCTATTTGATCCCTTCCAGGCGTTGCCTTCCTGTTTAGAGCGGAATTATTACCGGGGCCAATGGATCGGCCAATAAAATCGCGTAAATCGCAGGGCTGTACCTCATTGTCGCGATCAACCGGCAATAAAGCTCGAACTCGGTGATTAAATGGCGTCGATTAATCGAGTCCACCGTATTAGGTCTTCCCAGGCGACGAATTGAAACGCTTAACAAATCCCAATTAGCGTTCATTTGCAAATTCCTGCGCGGCGCGGCCCCATTCGGTCCTCTCTCTCTCTCTCTCTTTCTCTCTCTATCGGGGCGCTTTGCTACTTGCTCCGTATAGTCGAAATTTAAATAAGAAGAAATAGAGCGAACCCATTCCGAACGGTTTAAGCGAGAAACGGCGATAAATGTTCGCTCCTTCTATCGGGGATGAAACTTTTCCGAAGAAATCCGTGGACGGAGACTCTTATTTTTTAATCTTCGATAGATTAATTATTTTACTTGAGAAATTACTCGTTGAAATGTTAATTGACCATTGGTAAATCGTTCGGAAACTCTTCGGTTATTCTACGAGACAACGCAATTCCAAGTCTTATACAAAAGCTACCCCCGATATGCTCAATTTCATCCCCCGGGGAGGCAAAGCCTTCTCCAATCGCTTAAAACCCGGGCTAAATAGGTAGAAATAAATCGTGTCTCCATTCACGGTTAACAGAACGTCGTTGAAACGTTTCGAGGACCATCGAGGCCCACATGAAAAATTGCATAGGTTCAACTTTGTGGAGGGGAAGTCGGACGAGGACAGGGAAAAGAAAGTGTGTGGCAGATGCGTCCGGCTGGCCGAGCACCGGAATATTCAAAAAGGTTCGGACACGCGAATTCGAGAAATTTGTATTCGGTTCGCGATTACGCGTCTCATGATCGCGTTCATGGGGCCATCCGTAAAACTTTTCCGGGCGCAAAGCTTGGCTGGACTTTCTCGGGGGCTCGACACCTCGAATCATATCCTATCCCTATCCGATACGGCGCGTCCGCCACCGACTTCGAAAGAAATATCTCGGAAACGGAACAAGGGGTGACGGTGACGATGACGATACATATGTATGCACGCGTGAATATACAGCTATATGTACGTATGTACATATGTACAGTATGTATACGGGGAAGGGAAAGGGGGCATCCTTTCGCTCAGTCACGGACTAAACTTTCCTACAGTTGTTTTTAAACTTCTGTGCTCGATGATTTATCGGTGACCCGTTATTCTTTCGCGAATGGAGACGAATAAACGAGATTATGTGAAGGAAAAAATGGAACGATACCCTGGAACTCGGCCGTAGGACGTCCGGTTTCCCTAATTCTGTCCGGGGACTTCCGTGTTCCGTTTCGTTTTACGGGACATAAACCGATAATTGAGCGGGCCCCGGAGGGGGTCCTTTTCGGTGATAAATGCCGGCTAATTTCACGCGTCATCGGCTTTTATTAACGAGAAGGAGGATGTCACGCGGGACGGAAAAAGGCGAGCGTATCGAAGGCTCGGCTGTGCCTCTCTCTAGACGAAGAGTAAGTCATTTTACACGGGCAACCCCGAACCCCGGGGGCCGGCATTGTGCTCCAATCATTACACGCCGATGATTGCATTCTATTAGCCATGCAGCCGATCGTTTGCCCCGCACCCGGTAATCCGTGTCATCGTGTTCCACGGCAGATGATGGAATAACCATACAGTTATCCACTCTGTTCCCCCTTCCCCCATGCCCCCTAATTTTCTTTCGTTTCGTTGGTTTGTCGCGTGACGTTCTCGGCGTAATTCTACGCGAATGTTGCTCGCATTTAAAACGAATGATCACGGGACTGAGCTACGCCCCGATCGAATAATTGTATAGGCAGTGCCCAACGATTTTCACAGAGTGCCAGACAATCTCATCGTACTTGTATCGCTGATTTTTTTCTTTTCTCACAAGAATTTTGCAGCACCTCCCTCCGACGAAGCTACATAAATGTCAATGGAGAAAATCACAAATGGAGTTTGTTCGGCGAGCAACGATGCTTTCCAGTCGAGTGAAATCTTAACGATTCAACGCTGGACGCTCGATGTTCCCAGACAGTTTATCGCTGCTTTCAGATTGTACAGTTTGTTGCCCCAGGTTTTTGTCTGAATGTAATACACTCCGGTTTCAAGATTCACACGTCGACTCTTCGATCGTTGGCTATACGAAACAATTTGATAACGATTGTTCTAAGTATACATAATATAAGCAGACTGATTACCGATTAATTTATTCATCACCTTATTTCACGAGTATTCACTGACAAAAATTCTGAGGAACGACGTTCAAATGTTCGAAGGCGAAATTTCGCTTTTAAAATACCAGAAAAATAGATGACACGTTTCTCGTCCCGAATTCACGTTTAATTTCCATGGCAAAGTTTCCTCGGCTTCATTTTCCAGGGGAGCGCGAACGACACGGAGAGAGTTGTCCTTCGTCGGAAGTTAATTTTGATTTATCTCCGCGTGCGAGGAACGAAGCCGAAAACTCGACGAGAATCTGCCTGAACACGCCACGGTGATCTCTTGCTTTCGTAATAATCCAATTTACACGGTCGCGATACCGCGATAATAATGGAGACAATGAGACGCGATAAAAGCGCGACTTAATGCTTCGTGAAAACACCCGGCATATGGCGAGGTCGATAGCGCCGGTTCAATTATGGAGAATAATCTGTCGAGAGCCTCTGTTTAAATAAGCCTGCTTTTATTACCTGTATGTAGATAGAGGAACGTGATCGTTCAGGTTATTATTAGTGTTTGAAATTCAATGATCAAAGCTTGGCCTTTGAACGCGTTCCAACCAGAGAAGATCGTCCCTCTGGAATTTCAGCATGAGTTTCCTTCCGTGTTAGCCATATATTGTACATACATACATACATACATACACCGACAACGTCTTTTATGAAAATCTGCAAAGCAACGAAATTCCATGGAAAATCCAGGCCATCCTTGGTAGCTCCGAAGTAGAGGAAGAATAGGATGTAACCGAGAGAGAATGGCCGTGGAAGAGTGGCATAAATTATTCATCCGGCAGGAAAGAAGCGAAAGGTTGGGGACCGGTGGCGATCATTAGATTGGTCGAGCGCCAGATCCGCGGGGAGGATGGGTAAGTTCATCCGACATTAGTTACGTCATCCGCCGCCGGGCAATGGTTTAGCCGAGGCGAAGTAACCGAATTCTCGTTGACACGTGCATCGCCATACGTAGAGGACACGAGGAACAAGCCAAATGGACCAGATCGGAAGCAAATAACTCGATTTGCTCGGTCTACGCGTACTTGACTGGCTGGAAAGCTTCTAGGGGTGGTCGCGTCGATGGAAGGGTGGTCGAAGGGGGAGAGGGAGGTGGGACACGTAGAAAGTGGAAACGTACGGGAGAGGGTGGAAGGAAGCAAGGAAGCAAGGAAGTTATCGAGGCGGTAGTGTCACCATAGTCGTACAGAGGTGCCCAGTTGTCGAGCAAACTAGCGAGCCAGTCAGCCAAACAGCTCAGCCAGCCAGCGAGCTAGCCAACCAGCCAGCAGCCAGTAAGCGAACCAGCGAGTTCTTGTTTTATTCAGTCGGGATCATAAATTACGAATTTAAACACACAATGAAAGACGCTTAACAAGAAGCTAACGCGAGATTGAGAGGCCCCGCCCGAAACACCTCTTCTTTCGGAGGAACGACCGGGACCGGCCAATCCGCGGCGAGAACCGCCCTTCGTCGTTCAACCGACCCACCGTTTCCACGCCAATCCACTCCGTCCTCCATCGGGCGCTCGCCGACGGCCGACCTATCCGCGCATGGAACCCGAACCCAAACCCGAAATCCGAGCCCCCGCCGCGACCATGCCGAGAGTAAGTCGCCCGTCGAGCGAACCGACGAGCTGCTGCTCCCCGATGCACCCCAGTCGCACACCACTTGGCGAGTAGTGACACCAGGCGGCTGCTACCCCCTATCGGTGGTTCTTGCTTGCACGCGTCGATCCATAGTACAGACTTCGCCGCGAGTCGAAACTGAATCTCGCGGAAGTGCCAATCGAGAACAAAAAGTCACGCGCAGCATGGATCGAGAGGATAGTGATCGAGACCCGTGTACCCAGCAGTGACCCATCGTCGGGAGGATCGTGGACCGTGTCAGTGATGTCTCGTGTGTATCAGTGACCGAAGTGCCTACACCGTTTCTATCCAACTGTCCCAGAGATCTCTCTCCCAACATTCATTTCCGTTCATTGCCGAACTATGCGTGGTGCGAGATGGTGTGTTCCTTGACCAACAACAACAACAATAATAATAACAACAACAAGAAGGCCTGCAACGAGACCACCGGTGAACACTGCTCGGACCTGCATACGCGATCCAGAAGTCCAGACCCGCAGCCACAGAACATGTCGTCGCTGAGCGACGCTCACAGACGGAACAGCCATTTGGAGGGCGACAGGAGCTCGTCGGCTGGCTCCTCGTTGGGCTCGTGTTCGCCACCGCCGGCTACGAGCCACTCGCCACCGCCGCCGAGGCCTCCGTGGCTTCACGATTTTCACGCGGCCGCTGCTCCCCACGTTCTCCAGTTTTTGAATTTGAGCGCCGCCGGTGGTAGCATGCTCGCCAGTCAACCACTCGCGGCTCTTCACTCGATGGCCGAGAGGAGTCATCATCAGCAACACCACCACCACCAGCACCAACAGCATCACCACCAACAGCAACAGCAACAGCAACAGCAACAGCAACAGCAACAGCAACAACAACAACAGCCCCATCATCAGCAGCAACAACAACCGGGGATTCAGTTGCCCAGGATCAGCGTACCTTTGTCCACGATCACGCAGGGACAGTCCTCGCCTACCGGAAGCGGAAAGCACAGTCCGGCCACGTCGATCACCTCCGTCGGGAGCAATCCGCACGGGATCGACTCGATACTCTCGAGACCGGCGGCCACGCATCCTCAGGCACCGGTCTCGGCGACTCACGCAGCCCTTCAACCGTCGCCGCATTCCCAGCACATGACGACGCCTAGATACGCGATGCACGCGGGATTTACCGCATCCTCTGGTTCGTACATTCTTTCTTCTCTTCGAAATACATATGCATATACATCTATGGCATACGCAGGCTTGGAATGTATCGAATGGATGGGGGAACGTGGGATTGCCGTCCCCTGGTTCCCAGAATTCCGATTATGCTATCAGAGTGATCTTTTTGCTTTAAAGGCCACAGAACTTGGTGTTATTCCGATTTTTATTCTATGTATATGGTATTTGGGCGAAATGCCATTGCAAAAACCAATTTGTTCCGGTCTGATTCTGATTTATAGAGAGATACGTGCACGAACGTCAATTTATTCGAGTCGAATTCGATAAAATAAAAATTGATCCCGAATGATTGATCGGCCTAACAATCGAAGAACAAAAATGGCCGCTCGAGTGTGGTCTAATAGATAGATTGATCTTTCGTTGTATTTGAAAATTAATCCATATTTGTTTATCCTATCGTTTGATTTATGGACGCGCTCGTAGACCGATTCAATCAAGAAACTTTATCGATTGGTCCATTTGTTGCTCGAACAATCGAATATCGACTCGATAAATCTCTAAAATCTCGTAAACGGTACGAACTACGCGTTTGTTGAAGCTATTGCTAGAAATATACGAGCAAATTTTCTTTTAGCCCCTCTAATTGTTCGGAATTTGATTCCTCGATCGTCTGGAAGAACCGACCGCGAGTTGAATGAAAATTCCCCGACGACGGTACCTTCTTGCATCGAAAGAGTTTGAACAGATCAAGATGACAAAGTTTCTTTTGGCTAGATACCACAAAGTTAGATTGAAAATCAGAGACCGATCCCGGCGTCGCTGGTTCGCCAAAGCGTATTAGGTAAACGCGTACAGTCGCATGAACCAAAGTTAGCGTATTTTGGGTTAACCACCTGACGACGGTAACCAACTTGCTCGGGGGAATCTGATCCGTATACATAGAAGCATGGGCATGCGAACTCTGAAACACGGTGACCCTGCTCCAATTGTCTTTCGGTGATACGAAGGATAGGATAGCAGTGAGTTTGCTCATTGACAGACAACATGAGATTTGTCTGACGAAAATACAGTTTCATATAGATAACAACAGTATTCGAAACTAATGTCACAACATTTACAGGTGTATTAGACTCACTGAGCATGAGAAACAGTTACTTTAATGCATTATGTGTATCGTTGATGACTGCCGCATAATTAAACCTTCCAAATCAGAAGTTCATCGATAGAATGTATATTACAATTATAGAACGATAAAGTGATTGTTTAACTTGAAACATTTGAAGATCGCGTTGAAATAAAGGTAACATTATCTATTTTTCATTCATTCCAGTTGGTGGCAAGTGGAATCGTTCGATTATTTTCGCGAGAAATGTTAAACGAACATTAATAATAACGAATAGAAGAAAGTCTAAAAGGATATGGTTGGCGCGCAGCCGTTCGAACAGCCACGAATCGTTTTATTCTCCTAGGCCGCACGCCATTTTGTGAATACGAACGCTGGGGGTGCTCGACGGCATTAAAGGGTTCATTCGCAAAGTTGCGTGTCCATTATTAATGATATCGCGGGACATACAAGGGATTATAAATTTAAGAGTGCAACCTTTGAGCGCCGCTCAGAAATACTAAATATATTTTATGAACGAGGGTGGCACGTGACTAGGGTTTATGAGTTCATGAATTAGACCGAGGATAATATAGGTCAGATTCTAAGGGTTCTCGAATTTCTGTGTCTATTCAGACGTCGGAAACTTTTGTTCGTCATAATCAGTCACGTTGTTTTCAGCGTCGCATCGCGGATAGATACCCTTGCCGTCGGACCGCATTTTTACACCATTCTTAGAGGAGAAATTCATTAATCGAGGGTACTCCAATACTTGGAAACGTTAGTTAGTTTGTTTTCCAATTGACTCGTTATCATTGAGTTACGTCTTGAAACCACCGAAAGGTTAAATATGTACATCCATTCTGTTGTAGATAGTCTAAATTTTATTGCAAATGCTAAGCGAATATACAATTGGGTACAAGGAAAGTAAAAAAGAAAATAACTTTACAGTTCTGTTTTACACTGTACAGGTGTATGTTCGCTGTTTCTAGTATTTCGATGATTACAAGAGTAATTTCAGAATCAAAGGAATGAACATTTGTACCAAGTAAGAGCGTTCGATCGTTGGTGTAATAACAAGAAACGAGGAAAAGAAACGGACGATCCTAAACAATCTTCGCGAGAGGAACGCGCTCTTTTTAAAGTATATCCGGAGCCATTATTAGGAATTATGACAACGATCCCAGAAGATATTTGAACGTCCGCCACGGACAAAAGTAGCGTAGCAGCCGGATATAAATCGCAAAAGATTCTTTCAGGACCCCTCGGTTAGCTTTTACGGTTGCCACGCCGAAGATTTCTTCTTTTATCGGAAGGAAAACAATTTTATAGTGGCTGCAGTCTTGTCCGACTACACTTCTCAGTTGTGTATTATTTTCCGGAACACTTTCTACCAAACCTGGCTACCTGCAAAAAATATAATAAAACAATTATAATTCAATTTACTCTAGTAAAGTTTCCATAAACATTTACGATCCTTGCGTGTGTAGGTATACATATATTTTGTTTACACACGTTACCCTGGATCTTCGCTCGTTTTCAAGAATTCTGTCAAGGAATCAAGGTTATTCTGATTGTTTGATTCTGATAAGCCCTGCAGGGGTTGTACAGTGAAATCGTGAGTCGAAGGACCTCACCAGGAATCTTTATGAAGTGGTTATGCCGTAACCGTCGTCGTCTAACCTAGACCTGGCCCGGAGACGTGAGCGTAATGACTCGAAATCGGGTACTTCAGATTCCGTACAAGCTCGCGGAGTATTCAAGGTATCCTCGTATATGCATGTGTAGGTACTACATACCGAACAGTCTGGGCAGGAATCAGTCGACACAGGAATCGTGGATTTCACTAAACCCCAGCATATACCACCTTTTAACGAATCTGTACCTTCCATGAAAATCCTTTGCCAAGCTTTTATAACAACTCGACTAGACGGTCTCGAGGAAATTATAAGGCCTCTTCATTAAAGTATAGATTCGTATACACGGTTTTACGTGTTTCTCGACAGTGTGCCATTGATTACACGCGAATCTGATTTATTAATAGCGTGAAATTTTGATCAACATGTTCCGAGTTTCCTTGCACAGAATTTGATGAAACTCTGTAACAGAAAGGGGACGTCGGGGGGGGGGGGTAGGTAGCAATGATATCAAATTAGTATCCTTCGGATTCGTAAGCTGGTTTAATTGCAGTTGCTATCAATTTTCTGCGGACCTACGCAACCGAGAGTCGCCTGAGTTATTAAGGGGGTTCTAAACCAGTAGTAGATAAACCTGGGACGTAAAACATTCAAAACGAATTGATAGAAAGCTCTTTATGCAGGTGTGTGATACCGTTTCGATGAAACGCAAAGTTCATTTTGTTTTTAACCCAGCTGATACATTAATTCGGGGGATTCGGGGATCTAAATTTCTCAATGAAACCGTAAATTCGCATTAACGTCCGCAGTCTAATATGTAATCGGTTACGGTAATTAGTGCGGTCTACCGTTTCGATACGCAACGATCCGGCAACTCGACCTCTATAAATACCCATGTTACACTCGTTCAACCCCCGGAAAATGCTGGACCAACCTATCTCAACGAACGCATTTTCCCGGGGTTCTAATAACTTTCGGCCACGATATAAGCTGTTTTGAGTATGCCCTCGACGGTGCCCGCTGTATAAACATGTAGCTCGTCCCCGGGGGTGAAATGGGCGAGCAATGCATGTCGCGCAATACGGAATGCGCAGGTTCGATACGCATCCATGCGGTTCATTCAGCCTCCTCTTGGCCACTATGGTAGCTGCATCTGTTCGACCGATGAATTCATTCGCCTCTAAGTCCTGAATACCGCCATCGCGGTTCGATAAATGTTGATCCGCGTTCAAATATTCTAGGGTGAATTAAAATCTTTGCGATATCATTTGTATAACTAGTTTCGTTAGCTCCTTTCGTTTCGCACACCTTCTTGTAGTTTAATTATTTCGTATTATTGAAGTGCAATACGTAGGAGAACAATAAATGTTCCTTCAACGGTCAGCTGTGTTAATTAAACGTGCCGTAAAATATCAAGTAGGATGTGTATGTAGGTATGTAGACATGAATGCACTTACGGAAATTAGACAAATGTTACTTGTCGAACAATACAGTATCGGATAGAAAAGGATCGAAAAGTTTTTCGTGTCGAATAAATCCGAAGGACGTACATCCTATCTTTCGAGTACGCACATATTTTTCCCTATACGAAAGCTGCCCCCGTCGGCGTCGAAAGCGTTCGTTTCCGATCGTCAGCATTCGAGACCAGTGGCTTTTCGTTTCCAGAGGGCGTGCACCATAAAAATCTCTGCAGGAGGTTCAATTAAAGTTGGAGGATCCTCGTGGCGAGATCGGTTACGACACCGATTCCCTGGCTGCCGAAAGTGGTGGCGGACGATCCTGAATATTTTTGTTGATGAGCATGCAGGTTCACTCGTTTATGATCCAATAAATTTTATTTGACTTCAACGTAGCGGACAAAAGGAGTAACGATCGGCCGATCGTATCGCGTGCGTTTCCATATTCGTTTCCCGCACTCTCACTGGAACACTAAAACCGGGGGAATAACGTTTTATTGTGCGGTGGAACAGTCGATGAGAAAAGGACCCGTGGCGTTTCCAATTCGGATTGCACCGGCAACTAGCAACAATAGCCGGTGTTGGGAGAATTTTATAAACCCGATGTGTAAACCTGATCTTTTGGGCACCAGGGGGAAAAATGGGGTCGGGAACAATTAGTAAAAAGTAACAAGCAACGTGTATACCATGAAGACCGTAAAAACTGGTTTGACAGTTCGATTATTAAATTGATTGAACTTTGTTATTTCGTGACCGATCGGATGGTTATTCTTGTTATTTTCTCTGACATGGGAATCGTATGCAGCAGAAACGGGTGTAGTAGAGAGATACATCCGCGGCCAGAGGGAATCTGAAGCAGCGTCCCATAATTTCGATTAAAGTGTTGCCAGACAGTTTTTGCCAGACTCGAAACTTCAGTCATGATTGGACTGTTTCGTGGCCACACGCGTCGCGTTGCGGTTATCCTGCCGGGGACACACAATCTCGTGAACAGTATAGTGAACTATAAAGGGTGCTATCGATACCACTTTCATAAATTTCTTCCATCGTTCGACAACTATTAATATAGCCGTAATGTTAAGCATTTATCACATAGGTACATGTTTTCGTACACTTACGAATGATGAAAATCATTTTTAAAAAATCATTAAGGGATGTATTTCAGTTAAATCAATCCCTTTGTTGTAATATATGTGCAAATATTTTTTATCCGACGGTGACAATAGTCGTGGGCCAGACGATAAAAATATATGGAATCGTCGATAAACGAATATAATTGTGGAAAGGTAGGGTTACGGAAGATACAAAGGATAGACAGAAGACGAGAATGTACGCGTGGATACCTCTATATACACGCATATGCTCACATTATGTTTGCTTTCAATGCAGGTATCGGACAATTTCAACAAAGAACGGAGCCACGGCATCCCGCTGTCTATTGGCCAGGTCTTCAGGGATTAGTCAGTGATCCCCTGGCATGGCGGGCAAGACTACACACACGTGAGTTTCCTTTTCAATCCGTATATCTATCTCTCTTTCCCTTACACAGACACTGTTCCGGGAACGTACATAATTTACAACCGACAATATCAGCACTTGGAATTAATAAATATCATTTTTTTTACCGATCATAATTTAACAACAACGGAGAATACGTACAGTGAATAGTCGTTCGACTTATCGGATAACTTTAGCGAGAATCACCGTGTAAGTTACAACGCGAATTTATAAATATTTAAGGACAACAGTATCTCTTCGGGACGGAAAAGAGAAATATCGTCGTCGTCGAAGTAGGGACTCCGAGAAAAAAGACAGCGCGTTGAGAAGTCAAGAAGATTGGACTCGAAACATCCAAGATGTGTTTTTCAGTCTAGGGATACATATTCCGTTTCCTCCCTCGATATTAGACGGATTTGACAGCTGCTCGTGTTTGCTTTCGCGACGAGGAGATCGAAGTGAAAAAACACGTGCCACCGAGCCACTAAACGCTATTCTAGAGATCACCGAAAACAACCACGGGACGAATCCGAGACGACGAATCCGAGACGACAAATCCGAGAAGAATCTGAGAAAACAATTTTTTGCCCCGCGCGAGAATAAGAGGAGGGGGCGAGAATTGTATGATTTAAGAGGGATGCGGGTCTTGGTCTTACAAATTCTTACAGTTTATTTAAACTTTTCGATACTCGACGCGATCGAAAATTCATGGAACAAACGGCCGATCGACGCGGCGAGTCAGCGAAAGCCCGACATTTCGTGTCCCAATAAAATAAAAAGAAGAAAGGCACAACGATGGATCGCCCCTTAAAATCGAGTGGGTGAGATCGAGCCGCGAAGGTCCCGCGGCTACGGGCGGGGGTCACTTCGATAACCGCTTTTTCCACGGGGAAGGAAGTTGTTCAAGCCATCGGGGCGGGCGTCGGTTCCATAACTCTAACCCCAGCGATTTGTAAAAGCGATTAAGGCCGCCGCAAAAAAATCACAAACAAAGTGAAAGAACACGTGACGGCGGAGGAGAGAGCATCCCCTTTCGGGAGCATACATCAGCCCCCGGTGGTGGCACATGTGTGCCAGCACACACACCGGCATCCCTGACGTGGAGAAGAGATAGAGAGATAGAGAAAGGAACGGAGGGACGTATATAGGTTGAAGGAGACGGACCCTAAAAGTGTAAGAGCGAGACAGAACAACTGTTAGGGGTAGTTGAAGAGAGAGAAAGAAAGGGGGAGAAGCTAAGGATGACGAGATAGGGAGATACTAGGATGTAAGTACGTTGGAACGCGTGGAAGGGCGTGGACGAGTAAACGTGTGCGTCGTGTCGGGTACGAATGTCACTGTGGGACGAATAAGAGGGTAGCGGTGGCGGTAGTCCGCTGCGGCGTCGGATCCGGAATATCATATTCAATATCAACCCTCGTATCCCGGCGAGGCCTGCTGCCGCAGCCTCCCTCTGCTTTCCACACTCACGTGAATAACTCTGGCAATATTTTAATATGACCCGACTTACGCCCAGCAATATAGTATATATGTACGCTTTATATTCCGGGGTGTAACGTCGATCGGCTTGCATGGACCTCGCGAGGCTCGAACGACCGTCGCGGGACCAGCGACCGTTCCACGTTCGGACCGATAAACGGCAAGGATCGCCTTTCCATTAAATACCTCGAGGCACCATCGTACACTCAGGCTCTCTCTCTCTCTCTCTGCCGTCTTCTTTCTCTTCTCCGGATTGTTATACCGGCTGGATATTTTATGGCAAACAGGGACTCAACGGACCGACGCGACGCGACGCGACGAGACGAGACGAGGATTCACTCGGTCTCGGGTCCTGAGAGTCGCGCAGGATCGCTTGTTACAGGGTGAAATACAACTTCCGTGTTATTAAGTGGTATTAGGCTGAGGGAGATGACGGTACAGGTATCGAGCAAGGTTAGCAGAGGGCGTAGAGCGAGAAGGTAAACGATGGAAGCGGTATCGTGATGGTACGGGCGAGCTGGGCCGAAGATCGCTAGAGGAGATAGGGATATTGGTGATTGGATTGGGGGTTGATCCTTGAGAGGGCTGGTAATGATATCGATGGCAATGTCGAAGACTATGGTGATGCTGTTGTAAAGTGACAATAGGTTCATCGTTCGAAGAGCACAATGAATGGAAATGTCGGGAATAGCTGGAGGACGTCTAAAAATCATTAGTACACAGAGAACGGTGTTTTGTAATCTCGAACGCCGTGAAATTACGAGACTTCCAAATGAAGTTTCTATCACGATTTTTTGGGCAGCCCGTAGAAGTAGGGAAAATCAATCTCGGCCGGAGGTGACAGACCGAGATCCCCGAACTGACGTGCATAAATTTCAGCAAAAAGCGGACTTATCGAATTACGGGAGGAAAGTTGCCGCGAGTTTACGCAGTTTCTAAGTAGATGAATAGGGGATATCGCGTGAAACGTGTACCTCCATCGAAGCAGAGGGTGGAGTGCGGTAAGCAGCTCATTAGAACCCTCCCCGCCGACTGGCCATTATTGCCTCGTTCCGTATTCCGTTACAAATTGCTTTATTAAATTAAAGTCCCACAACCCATACTGTTGTGACGACCCCACGCCTCCTCTCCCTTTTCCCTTTCGTTCCCCTCGGATCTCTGTGCCCCGCCATGTGCCGCGTAAACGCGTCTGACCGCGTGCTGCTCGTCCACGGACCTTCTCTCCGTGCGCCCTTCTTAATTACTCGCGCAAATTTTCTTTCCCGTCCCCTCTTCGATAGAATCGACGTCTATAGTTTAATGCAATATTTTTTGTCCGTTGATATTTTGGATCTGTAGTTATCTTTCGTAAGAATTTCATTGACTCCGTAGTTAGTCAGAAACAGATCGAACGATAATCTTCTACTAATTTTCCGGCCTGCTGGCTGGCTTTACGAGCAGAACGGAATAGCTCGATGCTAATCGTGTTCCTTGAAGTACGTCGCTCGTGAACATCTTCGCGCCGCGATAATGCCACCCCAATTTCACCCCCTACCGCGTGCCATTCTATTCGAGGATGGTATCTGGCTACGGGGACCGATGTTCCCTCCCCTAACGCGTCGAACACGGGATCAACGACGAAGGATAGCGATAACAAACTCTGCCTATTTGCCGAACACTGAGCTCACGTGGTCGGCACGTGCCGGTCGACATGGAGACGACATGATTGCGGTCTATCGCGCAAGTGTTTAACCCTTGGACGCGTGATTCCGTCAAATTAAACTACGATCTCCCCTACTTTCACCCTCGAGCCCACCGACGTGCTTTCGATCGAGGGTGTGCAGTCTCTCGTTTGGAACGACAAGTGTCGAATAAAAAGACCTGGATGAACTGAAAAATTAAGAGAAAAGTAACACAGATACCTATGCAATTTGTGTATCGAGGTTTGGTGTACCGATCGTTTCGCGTACACAAGTTTCAAAGAACAAAATGACTTACCGATGACCCATACACATACGTTCGATGTTAATGAAGCGAATGGGACAATGAAGTTGTATATTCGACACAATTCCGTTGCCACAAAAGCGAGATCGATGCATTATCGCCGGACAATTGCATGGTTTTTAATAGATGTGCCTTACACAACATTTTTGGCGTGTAACGAGATGTAAATTTATGACGTAATTATCGATAGGGTATGTAAATCGTTGGGGCCCCCGGCCCCGAGTTTCGAGAGCAAGAAGAATGACGTAAAATTGATGAAGATTAATTGCTCGGTGAAAGGGCTATCTCCGCAAACTGTGCCTCCAATTATTGAATAAGTTTCACGGTGACGATGATAACGCTGTCGAATGACATATACATATACATACACGCATTGTCCTAGCAAAGAATAGGTACCAGAATATTATGACGATATGATAAATATAATATAATTCTTTTAATATTTTCCTATACTCTCTTTTGTAAAAGATACACGGACAAAAAGCCTGATAGTTTGGACACCGAAAGTAGGTGTCCAAATACTGTATTTTTCTATTCTCAGCGGTTCGTTATCGGTTCTAGTTACGAATTAAGAGAAATAACGACCGGGATAATATTTTTAAAGGGAAGAGAGAGAGAGAGAGAGAGAGAGAGAGAGAGAGAGAGAGAGAATATCTCTGGTAAATGTCGATGTTACAGTGTCGCAACAGCTGGGTTGTCAGCAAACGATGACAGGCTCGACCGGGACCGGGGAACACGAGGGTGGCAAGAAGAAACACACGAGGCCGACGTTCAGTGGCCAGCAAATCTTCGCCCTCGAGAAAACGTTCGAGCAAACGAAATACCTTGCGGGACCGGAGCGAGCTAAATTGGCGTACGCCCTCGGAATGTCGGAGTCGCAAGTTAAGGTAAGCTCTTGTTCTTTCTGCCAAGAGATTTTCTGGCGACCAGCGACCGATCAGTCGTCTCAGACGTGTCCGCGTCTTTGATTCGACTACTCCGTACGAACATTTAGTCGAAATAAACTTGCCTCTTTCGTCGCACGTTTCGAAACCGAATCGCGATCGTTTCCACGAATATTTATAGGCGACAAGGTCGTTACTTTTTGCGAAATCGGACGACTATATTACGTTTATTAAAGTTTATGCTAATCCGCGATAAAAACGTCACGGTGATTTAAGTGGGCCGACTAATTATGAGTAACAGATGTAGATGGGTTAATAAAAATTCATAACAGTCAAGCGTTCGCGCTGTTCCGATATTAATCTGTGAATTATCGAACGACGAAACTGTGATAAAAACGAGAAATCAACTTGACTGGCTACTTTTTAATCTTCGCAATTGTTTCATGTTTCCCTTTACCGGTTTAATAGCCTGGCCTTGCAGTGCACATTTTATTACCGTAGAATATATTGCAGTATCCCGATTCCTGTGGTCTCACAAACAATTCAACAGTCCGTAGTAACTAGAAAATGTGCGGTCAAGTTGGTAGTGTCTTCTCCTTGACTTGAGATACTTCGAGCATCTTTTTCAAACACATTCTGCATACAGGCACAAATAGTGAAATGTTGAAAAGCTTAATTTACGAGAAAATCAATTGTATATATTCCTGGTGAACGTGTGCAACTAACCGAATACGTTACTCTGGTAACGCGTCTGACCATTAAGCGTTAGTTCTACTTCTAACTTGTATCTACCTCTAAACTATCATACTATGTACATTCTAATTAATAATTAACATCATATTATGACTGAATGCATTACTGCATAATATGAAACTGATAGGTTGTTCAAACGGTTCTTTCTTCAAGAAACAGTTGTCAGACACTCCAGTAGAACCAGTCCCCTATCCACTGAGAGCACATTTCGCTCGGTCTGTATAAACGGAATCGGGAAACAAGGGCGGGAGTACGAAATCCAGGACAACCAAGAAACAAAAAAACCGTGTCATCGAAGTGGCTTTCGTTAGAAGCGGGGGTGGGGGGGGGGGGGGGGGGGGGGGGGGGGGGGGGGGGGAGGAGGTGTGAGCCGGCGTAGCGGTCGGGGGTACGCGTAAACGAGCGTAATTTTAAAACGCATTTGTTCAGGGGCGGCTTACTCCATCAACGCCGGGGAGCAAGCTTCTAACGAGGCAGCTTGTAAAAAGTTGGCCGGATAAAAGAAGGTGACAAAACAGCCGGAGACGTGTCAAGCTTTGCGGCACCTGCGTCATTTCGTCCGGCTCTCCCTCTGTCACCTCAAACAAAATGGTAGGAACGAAGAGGGCCTAGCCCCGTAGGTGACGACGCTGAGCGTCACAGTGGAACTCCGGCCTCGTCGTCCTCTTTCTCTCCATTCTCTCTTCCACCGTCGTCCCTCTTTTTTCATGTCCCTGTCTATCCGCCTGTTTCTCTCCATCTTTTCCTCTCGTCCCCCCCCCGCCAGCCCCCCCCCCCCCGCGTCTCATCCTTTCCCTCCACCCTACCTCTTGAGAGAACCCCTATTACCTATCTCTCCTATACCCACCCCCGCTGGAGGTTGCTACCACCTCCAGCGAGCCTCCACTTTTACTCCCGCCTCTCGGAGCTACATCTGTAGTACTTGTGCTCTCGAGCCGCGGCTACGAAGCCTCCTCCGGTGTGTCCTCCTCCCTGTTCGCCATCTTCGACCCTCGCAGCCAGCTTCCCATTTCGAAGCCTCAACCCCTGCCATACCGACCGTTCCCTCTCGCTCTCGCTCTCCGTTTCTCTGCTGTCTGTCTGTCCTTCTTTCTCGTTTTCGGTCTCTCTCTCTCTCTCTCTCGCTCTCCTTCTGTCCCTCGCGCTCGCTTTTCCTCCCTTTCTCTCCCTCTCTGAACGCGGACTCGAGCGGCGTCGATGTAGCGCTGTCATTGGCTCGTTCTACGCCGCCATATTTACATTTTTATTGAAAGCTACAAGTCTGTGTCGGTGAGTGATGGCAAGGGGATGAACGCGAGGCGCCCCCTCACGCTTCGAGGGCTGAACGAGGATCGGAACGGGGTGGACGAGCCAGCGAGAGAAAGAGATAGCCTAGGTGAAGCCGCGGGGAGGGTTAGCATTCAATTACCTCGGATTTCCTCGGCAAGAGGCGATTCACCTCTGCGTATATGCCATCTTCGAGGGTGAGATTGCCCCCGGATCCGAACCGGCACCGCGTTTCCCGAAATATTACGACAATATATACCCGCACGCTCGTACAACCAGTCGCTGATTCAGAGCCATCGATTCCGTGTAGCTTGTTTGTTGTTTAGCTCCTGAGTAGGTGCGCTGCCGCGATTTTCCGAATTAGCCGCCGTGTCGGTACTTAAAAGTTCGTAATTGAATGTAATCTAATCACGAGACTTAGATATTATAACCGAAACGATCGTCTCATCGAATTATTATAATCCGTGTCCACGGTGATTCTACTGCCGTAGCGATAGTTCAGGCTTCAATATTCCAGTTATTTCGGTCGATCACCGAAAAAAAGATTATAAGGAAACGAAGGAAGGGAGGGTCGAATAATCCAGAGAAGACGGAGAATTAAAAGCAGAAAAACGAGAGAAACGAGGAAAACAGGACAGTATAAGAATCGATATAACCGGCAAGCCAGAAAAAGCAAAAGGTTGGGAGCCGTTCCTGAAAATTACCATCATCGTATGAATTATTTATTATTCGCCTCTCGGGCCGTCACACTCGTGAAAACTATTAAAAATTACTATAGAAATGCTGAAAATATCTAAAAGTGTCACGGTAGAATTGTTTCCAAGGAAAACGATTGAACTTTCCTCGGGGCGTATCACGGAAAAAATCCAGATATCGTGACTTCCTCGGTTTGATACACTGCCGAAAAAGTCCTTTGTCGCGAACTTTGCTCATTTGCTGCCCCGTTACGATCATGTGCGGTGTATTACATCCTTGCTTCGTGCTTTTCCCGATGTCTTTGCCGGCAGACAACGGTAATTTATCGTCCCTGTGTAACGTCGGGGAACGTCTTGTGCCATATTTCTTGCAGGAACACGCGGCGCCACTGTCCGTGCGTGACACGCGTGTGCCAGTCATCGGGCGTTGAAATCACCTAGGAGGCCTAAAAATGACTTCGTTAAACGGGCACTAGATTTATCAGTCCTGAATGGGTCACGACTAAATATTGAAATTTCATAAATTGCGAACGTCAACGTGTACATTATGTTATAGGGAATTATTCGTTCGATTCGGCCTGTCGAAAGTTTTCGAAATACATATTGCCCGGTGAAATTATTTCACGCGACACGATAGCATTGAACGACACACATACATACTTCTATCCTATTTATCAATATATTATTACGCTTGACGCGGATCAGCATAAATTTATGAAGTTTATTTCACGAACAGGTCGCGTTGTAACTTTTACACTTTGTTTGTTCTGTGACTTCAAAGTTCCCATCTTTTGGAGTTGTCCATCTTTTCGACAGGTTAATTACCAAACCGCACAGATTTTGAGCAATCCCGCAGGACCGTTTCGTTCGTCAAACTCGTAAAAATGATTAGAAACGTTAAACACCTTACCGGCGCACTTATATGGATCATCCTGTACACAAAATCGATACCCTACGTTCGTGGTTTTACATCCGAGATTTATCATTTTTTCAGTATCGGAAAAGGATTAGTGCGGCATATAGGGATTCGCTAGTTCCGCCCAACGAAGATATATGTGTTCTGTCATTCCACATTTCCAGATTTATCACTTTTTCGTTTTCGAAATGCGTATCCGGCCGATACGCGTTTTTTTTGTTAAACACCAAACACACGTTCAAGTATCCGCGACCATCAGCAGTGTAACATGGCAATATTAATGCATCGTTAAAACGAAAGATTAATCGAAATAATGTCGCGCGTTGCTTACACGCGCATCTATCGATACATACGTTCGTAATTTCATCGATTCGACACCGTGAGAAACTTCGGAAATTCTATTTAACTAAGATTCTTGTCGCACTGTATGTAAGTATAAAAAGGAATTAACAATCGAGTGAACGTTTCTTTGCCCGGAATTACACGATTCTCCAAATAGAAGGTTATCCCAATGACTTTCCTAATCTACAAAGAGACTTTTCCAACGTCCGAAAGCATTTCACTCTTGATCAACATCCGAGAATAATTTCCCGTTTGTTCGATGAAATATCACCGGGACGAACGATGCCATAGCAATCATCGTGGAACGCGGTAACTCGGGCTGGCTCGGGATCGACCAGCTATTAAGACTATTACGCGGATCGACGTTCAAATTGCCAACGATATCCGTGGCATGATTTAGTTAGTCGGTCGGTCGAGTGAACAGTGCGCGAAGTGCACCGAAACGTAGTAAAAGAGGGGTGCGAGGGAGCAGGAAAAGAGCATCGACTACTCGCATCAGACTTTGCCGAACGGACGATCCCCGGGATCACTCGTGACCCCTCTATTAGAATCTAATACGGCAAAGTGAACGCGGAGTATTCCCGAGCTAAAGACCGTGACACCCTATCTCGTAGGCGTATCGGTCCGTGTATCAGGGTGTTTAACGCCGACCCGGTTTCACCACTAAACTTAACACCACCAAAAATCTTACGGAAACGCATTAGTATACGGGTACAGGTAGATAGTTCTCGGGCTGAAACTGTGCCGGACACGAACAGAACTATACTTGAATAGAATTGAGCAATCGTGCCGATTAATAATATTAAAGGTGCAGGTACATACCTACGTCTTCTTGAACAACGATGGAACAGTCGTGTTACGTGTGTGATCTTTTCACGCGGTTTCCTGTCCACTGGAATCGCGTTCCACAGGAGACACGTAGTTTAAAAGGATTCCGAGAACAATGACGAACAAGTTTGACGGTTTATCTCGCGTGTCCCCCCTATTAGAATCTAATACGGCAAAGTGAACGCGGCGCAACATTTGCGAGT